AGACCGAATTTCGCCATTGACGCGTATAACGTTATGCAAAAATGGAATTTGAATTTTTCCGGTGTGCGCGACGGGGAGACGGAGGCCTTCCTAATACGGATAAAGCAGGGTCGACAATTGATCCCTTTGGACGACGACGAAATTTTCAAATACCTGCCGTTCTTTTTATCGGGCAATGCGGCACATTGGTTCCGTTTGAATCAACATCTGTGGCGTACCTGGGGGCACTTCGAGGCCGCTTGGCGTGCGCGATTCGGATGCCCGAATTTTTAATTTACCTTACGGGACAAGATAATGCGACGCAAGCAGGGAGAGGACGAACCGGTGGTAGAGTATATCACGTGTATGCAGGCCTTGTTCAAGAGATTAGACCCCTCCTGACAGTTGAACGAACAACTAAATTACGCGCATAGAAATATGATACCGAGGTTGCGCGTAGCCGTGCGGCGTAACGAGATTTACGATTCCCGATCTTTAGAGACCCTCGCATCACAGATCGAGGAGTGTTACGATTTAGATAGACAGCCGATATCGCCGCGGTCCATTTTTCCAGAGCTCGCATATAGGGGTGCGTCGCGATCACCGAGACACCCGAAAACGATCGCCGCGGCCGGTGTCCCCGCGCCCAAACCCAAAAGAGGGGGAAAGCTACCGAGTCGAAAAAGTCTACCGTGACCGCCATAAATAACGCGAGTACAGACCCGCCGCCCTCTCCGTCCACCGCAAATAATAGCCGATTAGCCGACATGAAATGTTAGAATTGCGGACAGAAGGGCCACCGATTACGAGAATGCACTCAGGCGCGAAACCTGCATTCGGTGCGGAAAAAAGCAGCACACGACGCGAACGTGTCCGAATTGCGCGGGAAACGAGGAAGAGAGTCGGTAGATCGGCTCGGAAAGTCTGTATTTTTGCGAGTCTGTTTACAGACACCGGGGGCATACAATCGTACATAACACTAGACAATACCGAGTTTCCCCCGTTGCAATATTTCGAAATTTACATTAAGGGACGGCCGTTAAGGGCTATTGTCGACTCGGGCTCGAGTAGAACGCTGATAGGAAAAGAAGGGATTAAGCTCGTGCGATCTCTAAAATTACCGATATCGCGATACGGACGGCAAATGGCTAAGTTGCGAGGATAAAGGAGGTTAGCAAAGTACCATTAAAATTAGGTGATGTAGAACATATCCTTTTTGTGGGATTATTACCCAATTTAGCGGTTTCGTGCATCCTAAGGATAGATTTTTTGTGCAGATTTGGAATAGGGTTGGACTTAGCCAAATCCGAGTGGTTCTTCTCGCAAAATCCCTCATTTAGATATCGATTTGATGCTACCGAGCCGTCCGGACGCGCGTGTAGCGAACTGCCCGAGCTTGACTCCTCCCAACGCGCACAAATAGAAAACGTATTGAAAGACGTAGTGACAGTTCCGAACGATAACCCGGGGGTGACTACCCTGACGGAGCACCGCATTGACGTCGGGACGCAAAAACCTATCAAACAACGATGCTACGTTGTATCCCCGAAAATACAAGATGCCGTGCGCGAGGAAGTTGACAAGATGTTAGCGAGTAAAATAATCGAGCCCTCGTTTAGTGAATGGTCCAATCCGATAGTGATGGTGAGGAAACCTTCCGGGAAATATAGGTTCTGTTTAGATTTCCTGAAGGTTAATGAGATTTCGAAGAAGGACGCGTATCCCCTCCCAAACATAAACGCAATCCTCGACAAACTGAGAGCCGCGAAATACATTTCCACTCTAGACCTCAGTCAGGCGTATTTTCAAATACCTCTGGCTAAAGATAGTCGCGAAATAACCGCTTTCAGCGTAGCCGGCAAGGGGCTCTATCATTTTACGCGGATGCCGTACGGGCTTACAGGAAACCCGGTCACTTTCCAGTGACTGTTAAATAAATTAATAGGACCGGAAATGAAGCCTTTCGCATTGGCCTATTTAGACGACATAATTATCGCGACGCCAACGTTTGATGGCGACGCTTTATCGAAAAGTTACGAGGTGGAAGTCGAGAGCGACGAGGCGGTAGTCGCGACGGCGGATGCAGTAGGAGAAGATCCCGATCCCGAGAGCACGGATACCTAGTACAAACGTCGATTTGAGCAGGTCGCGCGCGATCCAAATCGCTACAATTAGTGGCGAATAATAGACGCTCGACTGTATTTTTTAAGACCTAAGCCGATCGTTTCGGACATAGTGGAAGACTTGAACAGATTGAAGTTAGTGTTACCGAATGAGTTGCGAAGGAAAGCGTTACACAAAGCACATGACGTTCCTCAATCCGGACACCTCAATATCGATAAAACATATCAGCGTCTCGCGGTCTAATATTATTGACCGCGAATGTTTCGGGATGTAGTTAGCTACGTTAAGAAATGCGGCACGTGCAAACTCACAAAAGTCGAGCAGGCCAGTCCTGCCGGGTAGGTGTTCACGCGCCTTCAATTTACGCGTGAAACACGATAATTTAAAAACAAACAATAATTTTTTTTTCTTTATTATTACTGGTTCGTCACTTGTCGCGGGTGGGATAATAATGAGGCAATGGGTTTTATTTAACAAACGTATATATTTAATTAAAAGTTTAACAAGACTCTGTAATATAAATATAAATTTAACATATAAGACAGGCAATAAGAGCCAAATCAAAAAATTAAGTAAATTTTCTAACAAAAAAATTTAGTTTCGTTAGGATAACGCACTGTCATCCGCGATTTGGCTCTTATTGCCTGTCTTATACGTTAAATGTATATATTTAACACCAGAATAACACCATTGATTTAACAAGACGAGGCTCTCTAATCCGATCAAAGGCCGACCAGAATGGTTGTACAAACTCCGAGCTTCCGAACTGATCTCGAGTAAAAACCGGACGATTCGTACGCTATGAAGGTTCGTCTCACACACGATTCTGCTCAATCCTCGATAATAGTCTCTACCGAGTCGGGTACAATAATATACTTGGTGTCGGTCGTATGATTTCTTCAACCAATAACAATCGACCACCGAGATGTTTGTCATATTTCGGCAGCAACGGTAAAGTCAAAAAAACTAGAGGAAAATAATTCCTTAGAATCCGAAGCAAATGTTACTTGCCCGAGGAATCGACCTTCGAATCAAGAGTTATAAATCAAACGAGAATTTATCTATATTGTAATCGTCTCTTTCTCGAACATCCCGCTCGCCTCGTATACCGGATAGGTAACGAAATAATTACTTCTCAAACAGACTAAAGTTTAGTCCTTCAGGGTTGAGCGATCTAGAGAGTTTTTAAGACAACATTGCAGCAAAAGACTTAAGAGAGAAAAGAAGAGAAAGAAGAAAGAGAGAAAAAAATATCAAGTTAATACATGATACATGATTGAAGAAATGTTAGAGTTAGACTTAAGATTTAGGATTAGAGTTAGATTTAGAAAAGCAAGTGTATTGCTTGGAGTCGTGCAATGAACTGACGAAATTCGGGACTGCTCTGAGGTCCTTCGTTTCGGCGGCTCGGGCCTGCGGCGGCCGAGAGAGAAGGAACTCTCCGGTGTAGGGGTCTCACCGTGGTGGGAGATCCCTAGGCGTTACGGAGCGCCACGCTTAGACTCTAGACGGAGTTAGGAGTCATGGCCGGCTTTGGCGCGCTTTTCAAACAATGTTTGATAAATATAAATTTAACATATGTAAGACAGGCAATAAGAGCCAAATCGCGGATGACAGTGCGTTATCCTAAACGAAACTAAATTTTTTCGTTAGAATTAAATACCTGTGCACAAGGCACTAAATTTTACTTGGACACGGCCAAGATATAAAATTGGAATAATCTCTACAAGAAATTTTTAATTCCATGTATCCCCTATTCCCCCTAAAGAAATAAATGCGAGAGAAAAATATAGATCCGAAAGTCGCAGAATCGGGAATCGAACCCGAGACCTTTCGCTTGCCGGGCGACTGCTCTTCCAACTGAGCTATTCAGATCCTTTCGATTCTATATTTTTCTCTGTTATATATATTAATGTTGGTAAACAAACGCCTTTAAGCCAGCGTGTATAAATTAAGAGTTTAACTAGGCTCTGTAATCTCGCATTTATTTCTTTAGGGGGAATAGGGGATACATGGAATTAAAAATCTCTTGTAGAGATTATTCCAATTTTATATCTTGGTCGTCTCCAAGTAAAATTTGGTGCCTTGTGCACAGGTATTTAATTCTAACGAAAAAATTTAGTTTCGTTTAGGATAACGCACTGTCATCCGCGATTTGGCTCTTATTGCCTGTCTTATATATGTTAAATTTATATTTATATTACAGAGCCTAGTTAAACTCTTAATGTTTGATAACTTTAGAATTTAATCCTTATAAACGGAAAAAAATTTATATATTCGGACGTAGTAATATGCCGGACGTGACAGGAGCTGTACGTACCAAAGCCAAAAAAGGGAAGCTTTCTTGAGCTCGACAGCTGACAACTCCGTCGTTTTTGGCGTAGTAAGTTCGCGTTTTAATTTTTGAATAAATCGTTTTACGAGCGCGGTAACTCGAATTAATTTCGTCCAGCTAGAAACAATATGCGGTAGCTCCCATTCCGAGGAGACTTGAGTATGACATACGGAAGAGAATTTTATTTCAGATTCGACGATCTCTCGATTAGCGTCGGGTCGATTTTGATCATGCTTATGAATTGGCCACGCGGATTCCGGAGAACTCAGCCAAGCAGGGCCGTACCACCAGAGCGTAAAGTTCCCGAATGCAGCCGGCGATAAACCTTGTGACGCACAGTCCGCGGGGTTATCGCTCGATGAGATGTGATTCCATTGAACCGAAGGGAGTCGAGTCTGGACTTCAGATACGCGATTTGCGACAAAGGTTTTCCATTGCGATGGATGGTCTTGTAACCAGGCTAGGGCGACAGACGAGTCGGTCCATCCGTATACAGGCGCTTCTTGCAAATTCAACGAATTTTGCACCCATTCGAGTAATTTCGTCAATAATACAATTGCGCTCAACTCCACTTTCTCCACGGCTCTAATAACTCGGTAGCTATTGGAGAATCCCAGTCATATTTTCTAATCCACAGCTCTTGTATCATTATTTTAGAGATAATTACTATCGGAGATGCCCATCCTAATGGGTCAAAGAATTTCGCGATAAATGATAGAATGGTTCGTTTAGTATTAAAGTCGGCAGTAGGTATATCTATTTGGAAGCAAAACGAATCTTCTTGCGATCTCCATGTGAGACCAAGTACCTTTAACATATCGTCTTCACCGAGTTTTCGTTCGACAGCTAATTCATGCTCGCTAGCCGGAATATCGTCTAATAATTCGGTCGCGTTCTTAGCCCATTTGCGTAAGTGAAAACCACCACGCGACATTAGTGACTGGAGTTCATCGCGGCTTTCTTTGAGCTCCGGAACGTCGTCGACGTATATAAATTCCTGAACGATGGATTGAGCTTTCGGAAATGCATGTCCTTCATCAAGAGCCAATTGATTAAGAACTCGCATGGCTAAATAAGGAGCAGGAGCAGTGCCGTACGTAACCGTTAATAATCGATAGGCTTTAATAGATTTATTATTTGCGGATCGCCAGAGAATCCGTACGAAATCCGCGTCATTCGGATGAACGCGAATCTGTCGGAACATTTTTTCAATATCCACGGTATACACGTAGCGGAATTGTCGCCATCGCAGGATAATAGATGCTAACTTGCGTTGTAACTTAGGCCCGATCATCAAATAATCATTTAACGTAGAGCCGTTACTAGTTTTATACAACGCGTTAAATACGACGCGAAGTTTTGTTGTACTGCTAGACTCGCGGAGCACCGGATGATGCGGAATATAAACGAGGAGAAAAGCGTGGCTTATCGTCATCCGGAACGGCCTCTATGTGACTCATCGTTTCATATTCCGACAAGAATTTGTTATATTGTTTGGCAAGATCGTAATTTCGATCTAGACGTTTTTCTAATTTAAAATATAGAAGCTCGGTAATTTCGTATGAAGAACCGATCTCGAGCGGAGGATCGGTTTTGAACGGTAACCGGACGATATAACGGCCGTCGTCGGCACGCGTATGATTTTCCTTAAAATGCAACTCACATTTTTTATCTTCTTCCGACAGCAAAGTGTCGGGGGAAATCTCCTCGATCTCCCAAAACTTACGGAGCAAAGAATCTATCGGACGGTCCAGAACGCAATTTAGCGTTTGAACCAATTCTGTTCTTTGAGTAGAAGTTCCGGTGAGACCGGATAAGACCCAGCCTAGCTTAGTGAGGTGAGTTGTTGGAGTTCCGATTGGGCCTTGCTTTACGTCATGCAGTAACAAAGCGCCGTATATGTCTACTCCGAGGAGCAGATGAATCGGGTGATTGCTAAACGGATCGGGATCCGCGAGATTTAATTTACTTAAGTGAGGGCAAGAATCGAGAGGTTTTATTCGAGAACCCGCGTACGACGTTATTTTTTGATATACGAAAGTATTTAGAGGTAAAGAAAGTCTTTGCGTTTGACACGGCTCGAGCTTGAGCGGTACTTGCGTTTTCGCTACGCCACTGTATTGTTCACCAAAGCAATGTACCAGTAATCTCGCGCGGTAACGTTTCGTGCGCAGCGTTTGGCATAATGACTTCGAAATAAAACTAACGGCAGAACTCTGTGTCACGTCCGGCTATATTACTACGTCCGGGTATATAAATTTTTTTCCGTTTATAAGAAATAAACTTTAAATCTACCAAACATCGTTTGAAAAGCGCGCCAAAGCCGGTCATGACTCCTAACTCCGTCTAGAGTCTAAGCGTGGCGCTCCGTAACGCCGAGGGATCTCCCACCACGGTAAGACACCCCCCCCCTGTGTGAAGTTAGCCCCCCAATATTAAAAAAGTCAAAATTTTTTTCTTACAAACGTTTGCCCATTGTTTGCCCACGAATGCCCCGTTGGAATTTTTATTTGCCCCCCTCTAGTTCAAAAGTGACAGTCAAATCAATTTATGGGGGGCCAACTTCACACTGGCCCCCCAATATTAAAAAAATAAAAATTTTTTTTTATGGAAACGTTTGCCCATCGTTTGCCCATGAATGCCCCATTGGAATTTTTGTTTGCCCCCCTCCAGTTCAAAAGTGACAGTCAAATCAATTTTGGGGGGGCCAACTTCACACTGGCAATTTTTTGTTGCAAATGTTTGCCTATCGTTTGCCCATGAATGCCCCGTTGGAATTTTTGTTTGCCCCCCTCTAGTTTAAAAGTTACAGGCAAATCAATTTTGAGGGGCCAACTTCACACTAGCACTTTTGTCTTGCAAACGTTTGCCCATCGTTTGCCCATCGTTTGTCCACGAATGCCCCGTTGGAATTTTTGTTTGACCCCCTCTAGTTTAAAAATTACAGGCCAATCAATGTGGGAGAGCCATTATCTTCACTCCGATTTACAATAAGCTCATTTACAAAAAAAATTTCGAGTCATGAATTATCAAAGTTTACACTCAAAAAAATTATCTTGCAATCACAGCAAAAAGGTTTCTAGGTGTAACGAATTAATTGACACACATAAAGTGATTAGCAAGTATTGTAATATTGCATATGTAATTTACTTAATTGGTTTAAATAACAGAGACAATATAATATATATCTGTACTCTCTGTTTGTGAACTTTAGAAAGAAAGTTTCTTCAAAGCAGTTATCTATATAACTATATAACTCATACATATTATGCAATAAATAATATTTAGCAATGGTACCTAAATTTTAGAAGCTATCGATAGAATATGCTGCTATTAATTTTATAGAAAGGAAGCATTTTCGAACCCATGTTTCTGACTTTTTTTATCCTTACAATAAGTAAAATATGTTTTTAAAGTTGGCCAACTATTTCTGAAACACCCTGTATATCAAAAGGCTGTAAGAAATTCTGTCGCGTATATCGAAAAACGCAAGAGGCGCATGTCACTGCCCGTGTCGCCCGTCTCCTTCGTGACCGACTTGATAGAAAAGAGACAGAAAATAATATATCTGTCCTCTTCTACTATCTGAAGTTACCGCGATTTTCGTTTATGTGCGGAGTCACGCCTACTTGAGTAGGGGTACTTAGTACCTATATAGCGGAGGGAATCTCGAATCTCTCCTTCAATCTACCAGATGTGTCGTTGTTTTATGCAGCGCAGCGCGTCGTCTTTACATAGCTTACGTTTTAAGCAGCTTTCGTCGGCTAACGGAGATCTATGAGTACAGCTGGAATTGACTCACACTTCTGATTTTTGTCTTGCTTTTCGCCACACCTTGCGATAATAAAATAGTTTCTTTGACACTATTTTATTATCGCAAAGTAAAAGCAAATTTACTTTGCGTATTTTTGTTATTCTTGCGATTTATTTGTTCAGGTTTAGCGAATTACATTTCATTATTCTTAAACATGCCACGAACAGCTATTGTTTCCTCAAACGAGATTACTGATGCTCTCTCAAAAGTCGAGATTTTTCAAGACTCAAAAGGAACACTTAAACCACGCTCCAACGAAGTTTGGAATAATGTTTGTGCATTATTAGAAAATAAAATTAAACGTGATACTTTATTTCTACATGTACAAAAAGACAGAAATGGTGTCTTAACTGAAATCAAAAGACAAATGAATATAGCAGATATGAATGAAGTACGTGTAAATAAATCGAAAGACGATTCAGTCGATTCAGTCGATCAATCTATTGAAAGCACCGCAAGTAACAATATTAGTGGAATCTGTAAAGATATTTATAATTGTCCAGATTTATTATTTGATTTAAATATAGATGATGTTTCATGGAATAATATTGCACCTGTTTCTGTCATTTACAAAGAGAAAAACCGATATGGTAATAAGCGTCGTTATACCGTGTTAAAACATGGTTGGACGGATGTTTTACAGAAAGCATGCTGGGAAAAGAGTAAATTACCTTGCGCATATTCTTTTAAGAGAGCAAAGATTTTCGACCATAAAAATCGCGTATACCTAGAAATAGTTGGCAAATGCAATGAATGTGGCGCAACTTTTAAAGGACATTGTTTAAAAAAGCCTCTTCCTGGTCACAGTATTAAAATTTCTGTAAAAACGATAGATACTCGAGGAATTCCTCATGTTAAGAAACGTATGCTTAAAGGATTAGAAAGACAGAAAGTTGAGCAAGAATTGCTTTCTACAAAGGCAGCTAATTGGCGTTGTAAAGCAACGAAAGTTATGGCGTATGGTTCTCTGCGAGAACGTATTCCTCGGAGAAGCGATAGTCACTAATCACAGCGGGAGGGCATACCTCCACGCAATCAACGCTAGCGATATAGATCGCGTCCTTGCGGTCGACCTCCAAGAAATAGAACAAATCTCTAGCGGAAGCGAATCCGATGCAACCTTAGGGCCATCAAACCAAATCCTTTCTATTTCTTCAGCCACAGAGTTATCCTCTGTGGAACAGAAACCAACTATCCGGGACCTCCTTCGCCTTGATCATTTGAACAAGGAAAAAACAGACCATGTAACTAATCTAATAAAAACATACAACGATTTGTTTCACTTGCCAAGCGAGAAGCTAGGATATACAGGGTTGCTATCTCACAAAATTACGACAGTCGACAATCAACCCATACATACCAAACAATATCGTTTCCCTCCAATCCACAAAGAGGAAATTGACAAACAAATAAAAGAATTATTAAACAATGACGTAATTAAACATTCAGAATCGTCTTATAATTCACCTTGTGGATAGTACCTAAGAAACCCGATTCGAAAGAAAACAAGCGTTGGAGAATGGTCATCGACTATCGAGCACTAAATGAAAAAACGATAGGTGACGCGTATCCCTTGCCAAATATAACAGAAATCCTCGACCAGTTAGGCAGCGCAAAATACTTTAGTGTATTTGACCTCGCGTCCGGATTTCACCAAATACCGATGCACGAGTCGCACGCGCAAAAAACTGCATTCTCGACACCGCATGGACATTACGAGTTCAAGCAAATGCCGTTCGGCCTGAAAACGCCCCAGCGACGTTTCAACGACTCATGGATCAGGTTCTATGCGGACTACAAGGAATCGAACTCTTCGTTTATCTCGACGATATTGTACTTGTAACGTCCAGACAAATTCTAAAATCTGAACTTTTTTCAAATCTTTATTCTTCAACATATTAGTCATGACAATCTCTAACCTGCAAGAAAGACCGGTATCAACGAATATTTAATCACACATATAATTACTCATAGGTTAAGACATGTCTTCTTACGAATGACAATGAGAATAGCGACTCACTTTTAAATAATATTGAAAAGGCATAATTAATAAAGATGTTCTGCTCTTGATCATTCGTTAGGAAACATAAATAAAAGTTAGAGAATAAGTGCGCCTAAGTAAGACAACGAATGTATGTTCTAACCCCTGAAACACCTTACAAATTGTGTGCGACTAATGCCCCTGTACATCTTACACCATTTATACTTGCGAACCCCTAAGCGCCGTACACATTGCATGACCAGAACCCCTAAAAATACTATATCCGTCGTACGCTCTAACCCTTGAGTGTCTTACACACTTCATACAGCCACGAATATGTAAGACTTTTCTTTAGACGTCACTTCACTGACCAACACACGACAATATGGAAATCGACACTACCGACCAATGATAAAACAAAACTTAACCTACCAACTACAGATAAAACTTGCCCACTAATGATAAGGTAGAAAACTACTTTACCAACTAACGACGAATATGGAGACTAACATTACCAACCAATTAAACCTAGGATAAAAATAAGCATGCCTATAGCAAATATATTGTTAACCTTAAAAACTTTCATGTATTAAACACGCCAACTATCCTATATTACATATCAGCATGGTTTCGGGAGGAT